GGTTAACTCTATAATATCATGTGAAATGAGGTGACATGAGCTGGAAGATTGAGAACACTGGACCAGGAGAGACATCAAAAGATTCACTTTCAGCGGTATTACATTGCTACAATTCGTAGGCGAGGAATGTCAAATTTCGTTTTTTTTTTTAATTTTTTGATCGGAATTGGAAATTTGGTAAGAAAAATCAATTGGTCTTTTTTGATTTCTGGTCTTTCTGATTTCCATTTAGTATTGCATTCAATATATTAATATGTGTAATGCTAAACTGCATGATTAAACTACTGTTATCAATTTTTCTGATTCGTCAATTTTTATACAATAGGAAATATAACCTTTTTTATGTAGATATAAGTCTAAAATGTCATCTGGTTGCATTTGAAATAAATGTAATAATAATTGTTTTGATGGCCATAAAGAATTTGGGTACATTTTTCTTATTTTACTCAACAAATGCGAAATACAAAATCCCAATTAACATGCACACATTGTTATATATAGACATTGAGTGTCAAATTAAAATCTCATGCGATATTTTATATGTCACATAAAATATTTTAAAGTCTTGCTTCCATTTTATAAGATTCTAAGATGTCTACCAGTGAAATTGTTCAAAGGTTTTCAAATTGCATTCACAATTTCTTTTGATAATTATACAAATTATAATTGTACAAACTGATACAAAAATTACTTATTTGAATTTTGCGAAAAGTTCGCGAAAGTAATATTACTCAATTGCGCTTCATATTTTCTTTTAAAGAAAAATAATATTAAAATAAGTATTTTTTCGTGCAACGATTTATTTATTCTTACATGAAAATTGGTTTGCTTTTTATGGGAAAGTGTATTTATACCACAAAATTTATATTCACGCTTTACTTATACATAACGGAATAATAGTGATAATACACATTATGCCATGGCATTAAATCGTCTTCACTTTACCTTCATATGAATGGTTGAGGATTAAAGTTGGCTCAAATCCCGATGAAAATAAAAGACCAACATGACATTTTTTCTGTATGAAGTTGTTGTTGTAATTACAACAACAAATATACGTGAAAAAAAATTTATGATGCTCATTTGTTTTCATCGGGATTTGAGCCATAGATTCTGACGTGGGTCCATATTACCCCCTGAAAAGCGGCTCAAAAATTACCCCCCTTGATTTTTGATCATATTTTTGCTTGAATAATTATCAAATCAGCATCTTTCAAATCGAATCGAATGTTACATATCAACTTTTATGCATTGAATTATTCAATTTGAATATAAACACTTAAGCTAAAGTGCTATTTCTCTGTTGTGTCTGGCCGAAAAAATCGAAAAATAAATCGAACGAAACATACAAAAATATCCGCTTCATAAATTGTCAGATCAGCAATTTTCGATCTGTTTTTTGCGATTTTTTCTTTCAAAATATTTATTTTTATTGTTTTTCAGAGATTTTTTTTCAGAAGAATTTTGAAATTACCCTCCCAGATTTTACGAAATTTTTTAAAATTACCCCCCAGATTTTTCGAAATTTTTTTAACCCTTAAAATTCAGGACGTCAGAATCAATTATTTGAGCTCACCCGTTCATATAACCTTAACCCATATTAATAATAAGGCAAAAGAATCTTAAATTTCCTTTTTCAATGCATTCACATCAACATGAATATTGATAATAATAATGATATGCATCAGATTTATCAATCGAAAAAATTCTCTAGAAAACTCGAAAAATAGTCGATATAACTTGAAAGTATTTAATTTCATCAAAAAATTGAACAGTGAAAAATGTGCGATGTTTGCGAAAGAGTTGAAAATATCCAACATAACTCGTTTTATGATCTATATCAATAAAAGCACTACACAAGGATGGATTTTAATTCAAAGTGTCAACAAAATTGAATAATTTTTTTGCAAACAACAGCATTCGTAAGTACATTTCGATACTTTGTTTTGTACTGTTAGAGTATGGCTACACTTGAATTATATATAAATATATCGGATAAAAATATTTACTTACTTTGATTCTGCAGGTAATACACTTGTTTTTTCAGATGACAATGTTTTTTCATAAAGCCGCGTTGACCGCCGCTGCATCAACCCGCCACCACTGCTTGGGCCTACTGTTTGATTACCATTGGCCGGATCAATAAATTTGGAGGTTGCTCTCGATTTTGCTGGACTTGAAGCAGCTGAAAAGTACAATTGAATATGTAAATATTTTTCTAAGATTCAAAGATATAATTTACAGAAATTAAAAACAAAATTCAGATTTCAGGATTAACTTACTATCAGTGGATGAAACTGCCTTTGGTTGTGCAGATGCAGGTCGCTGATTTTGTGCTATGCGAGCAGCATTTTCTTTTATTGTAGATGAATCAATCGTATTTTGACGTTTGAAATTACTGCTCCTGAAAAGAAAGGTGAGATGGAAATGAATTCAATAAATTGTTCATTGAAAAGTTCATTATAACAATGAAATATTTTTTCGGAGCTCAAAAAAGGTTTTCAATTTCTAGAGAAAATCCCTATAGCAAATGGAAAAAAATTTCCAACACACCATTCCAAAAAGCAGTTTTTACCCCTAGATCAAAACTAATTACGTGGGAAGAATTTGTCTCAAGAACTCTATCAAATCAAAAGATTTTTTCTCTCGTCGTTCTAGGAAATTTAACGATTTTTTCCTCTCCTAGCAAAACGAAAGAATTTTTTTCAAACTTATTAAATGATTTATAAATAAAGAAAATGTTGTTTGAAAGCAATACTTTTTTTTTAAACTTAGTAAAATCTTACTAGAGTTATTTTTCATTCAATTTATATGTATATGAACAACTTTCAAGCCATTTCAAGACCAAAAATACATGGTTTCTATAAAAATAAAATGTCTTACATACGTAAGATGAACTTTTCCGCACTATGATCCACAACATGCATTTATTACATATCTTTTACTTAAATTTGAATTCACGAGAAAACTGAACATGATCTGACATTTTGCGATAGAAATAATTTTTGATAGACTTTTCAATGCTTGTATGAAATCGTAATCATGTGAAAATTTGCAGAGGTCATTTTTTTCACAAATAAAGAGGCTTACGTCCGCAAGCTGACTTTTCCACATGGAACCGAAATTTTGGGAATAAACAGAAATGATGGTCTATGTATGGTTGCAGTAACTTAAATTACCGTGAAAACTTGTGAATATTATTTTCTCATCAAAATAAATAATCATACCAAGTTTAAAGAAATTTCAATCAAAAAAATAGCCTGTTCAAAGTTTCACATCATGACGGTACCACAAAAAATGAAATATTTTGTGGATTTTTGTATGAAAAGTCTGTGAAAAATTGATTGCATCTTAAAACTAACATAAGATTCAAAAAACCCCCCACTACACATTCTTTCAGCATTCAAATTGGAAGAATATCATTTTAAGGCATTTTTCTCATAAGTGCCTCTTCACAGTCTAAGTTTTACATCGATCAATCAATGTCGTTGAAAATTTGACCAGATCTATTCCTCGTAATGCCCAATCGTCCCGTAAAGTCAGATTTTGAATTTCATGTCTGAGCACGAAACCATCGTGTCACCAAAATGGTTGAAAAATAATCAAAAAAGTAAAAAGTGGATTGAAGGTACTCCATTCGGACCAAAAAAAATTACACCGGTCAACAGATATTGCTCAAAAACTAATCAGCACTTCTCCTAGTAGTCCCAAATCATCCTGCAAAGTCAGAATTTGAATTGAGTTTTTGGAAGAAGATTTATCGAGTTAACAAATTTTGGCAACACGCCACAGGACACAGGACACATCACACACAACGACGCACATTAATATGCCCCAAAATCATCTCCAATCGTGTTTTCTACATTAAATATGCATAGAAAACATGTTTTGGGATGACTTTAATTTTTTGGCCTAATATACAATACCTTTCCTACACGAGGTGTGCGGAAAAGTAAAAGCTAACATTCTGAAAGTTTGAAGAAATTTCAATACAATTTAGGGGTACCTTCCATGTAAAATTTTCGTTTTTGAGCAAAAAAAACCAAAATTTTGTTCGGGAGGTAGCCCCATTATGCATTGAACTCTCTTCAAACCCTCGGAATGTTATTTTTGTGCGATAAAAATAACCTGTGCAAAGTTTCAGCCAATTATGATATCATACAGGCCCGCTTTCATACAAAAATCCAAAATTTTTGAAATTTTTGTGTGATAAGTGTATCGAAATATATTTGTATCGCAAAAATAACGTCATATTCGGTTTTCTCGTACCCAAAAATCCCTCAATACATATTTTTGAGTGAATACATTATTCTTTTTAAGAATACATTAAATATCACTTTTGTAGGAAAAATTGAATTTTTTCCATGGATGCCCATGGGCATCACACCAGACATGACACTTCACTTTATCAACCAAAGTCGCTAAAAAATATAATGGTTTCTATTTCTCGGCACCCCCAATCATCCTGTGAAGTCAGATTTTGAATTACTTTTCTTGTTTGAAAGTAATCGTGTTAACAAATTTTTGCGTACAGCGTACAGGGTACCACGCACATACATTCGGACATCGAAAAAACGCTATATTCGTGTTCCCTGGCCCCAAAAACACCCAGAAAATACATTTTTTATGGGTTTTAATTTTTCGACCGATTCCAATACTTTACCTTACACACTAGGTGTGTGCGGAAAAGTAAAATGTACATTTTTGACGTTTTTTTGCCATTTTGGCTAATTTTTGTATGAAAAACGTAATAAAACGTTATTGTATCCCAAAATAAAGGCCAAATTCGGCTTCCTCATACCTAAAAACTACTATATACCAATTTTCAGCGCATTTAAATAAAAAAAAATGCACACCAAAATGAGCCTTCAGAGCAGAAATATCAAGTCAATTTTTTTTCTAAAATGAGCCAACTTTATCAATCTGTCAACTGTCAAACAGTGAACAACACTTTTTCTTAGCTCCTAGTTTTAGTGTTTATTTTTTCGTTTATTTTATTGTTTTAAGCAGTATTCTTTGCTAAAAAAAATTTTTTTCTCGTTTTAAAGCATTGTTTTAATTAAATTAGCATTTATTGTGTTTATATCTTTGTGCTTCGTGTTGCTTTCGTTGGTTTGATTTCGTTTTTTTTTCTCCGTGTATTTTGTTAGTGTGACAACCTACAAATATGAATACAGAGCATGACAAATGCACTTTGTGTGCCGAGTCCACGACCAATTCCAACAAAGATGTGATAAATTGCTATGGATTTTGCGGAAAACAATTTCACATCAACTGTTTAATTACAGATAATGGTAATTACAAAAAATCGATTGTAAATTATCTCGTTTCGATTAAAAATTTACAGTGGTATTGCGATATATGTTTGACCTTTACGGTAAATGGCATCGCATCAACTCTCGTGAATAGTGCCAAAATAATAACGGAATTTCAATCCACTATTCAACCACAATTGGATCAGTTGAAGATTTCTAACGCAGCCACTTCGGCAAAGCAAATAAATGGCGAGAATTTATCATTATCCGCTCCAATTTTGACACAGTCTTCAGTAATTCATACTGACATTCCATCGACTACGATCAATCAGATGGAAATCGATACCAATATCGTTATTGATATCGATGCAAACAGTACCGATGTGATTGACCCTGTTGATAACGAAAAAAATGACACCAGTATAATTTCGATTTCGTGTGATATTTTGACAAATGATGTTCCGACCGTGCGACCAAAACCAAAAGTTTTACGCAAGCGTCGTAGATCTGTCAGTCCATCGACTAGATTAAATGTGTCGACAAACACAGTGTCAAATCCACGCAAAAAGAAGGTGTCAAAGCCAACGAGAGTGACAAAGGCTAGCTCACAGCCTAATTCAATGACGGTTTCACATCTCCAGTCAAAAGTCGTTGGTAGGAATACTACAGCCACTTCAAATTCTAAAAAGAATTTGAATTCCAAAGTGGCAAATTGTGATTTTGGGCATCGGGTCGGTCATGCAATTAACTCAAAATTGTATGAAACAAAAACGGTCTATATTTCACCGTTTCGGCCTGATACTACTGTCGATGATATCACCGTTTCATCATTTGAAATCACACCAATGTTACAGTGTAGTAGGTGACTTGAAGGTGATCGAACTGGTGAGCCAAAATAAAGACGCAAGGAAATTATCGTTCGTTTCCTTCAAAATAGAAGTGCCAAATCGTTATTTCGGCATTATTATGGACACTTCCATTTGGCCACCGGGCGTTAAGGCCAAAGAAATCGTTGAAAATTCATTGCCTAGCAATAAAAACTCTAAATCAGTTCCACAATCCCAACGAACTGACAAAACTTCAAAAAACAAGGATCATGCCTCGTTCAAGCCACCAATTCATGGTCGAAATCGACGAAAGTCACAACAAAGGCAAAAAATGACACCGGAAATTCCACTGCTGTCTCAATACCTACTCAGTCCACTGATGGGTTCGTACAGTCAACCGCAACAAAATCGTCGCAACTAAGCAACACAAATCACTCTCCTCCAACGACTTTGGTGTGCAATGATATTTATTATCAAAATGTTTGTGGCTTGCGCACCAAATCAAAACAATTTTTCTGCAATTCGTCGGCATTTGCACATTCGATTGTTGTTTTAACGGAAACATGGTTGAACCAATCTCATTTTTCGTCAGAATTCTTTGACAATTCATACCATGTTTACCGTAAGGATCGTTTCGAGACTGGTTCATCGTTAAGTCGTGGTGGTGGTGTACTCATTGCAGTCAAAACTAACATCCACCAACATTGTATTCGATGATTCAAATAAATTGGAATATGTCTGCGTTAAAGTCAGCATTAATACAAAACTCAATGTATTTATTTATGCTGCGTATATTCCGCCGAACTCACAGCCGGAAATATACAAACGCCACTCGATTGCCATAAGCCATATTCCATCGAGCCCAATTGACACTATTATTGTATTGGGAGATTTTAATCTACCCCTTGTCAATTGGATTATGGATGACGATGAACATAATGTTCTCATTCCAACTTGCGTCACTCCACAGCATGCGGCGGATTTTATCGGAGACATCACCGCCAATGGTGTCTATCAGATTAATTCTATTCGCAATGCTAGTAATAAACTGCTCTATCTAATATTTACAAACGATTTCACGAATGTCGAAGTTTCTTGTCCGCCGCCTTTATCTGCCATTGATGAACAGTATCATCCACCTATTCTCTTGACACACATAAATAAGTTAACTCAAGAGCAAATTCCAACTCGAAACTTCCTTAAAGCCGACTACATTGCAATGAATAGGTACTTTGCCGAAATCGATTTCTCTGAACACTTTTCGAATAAGCCTCTTGATCATAAAGTTGACATTTTGCACCAAATTATTAACGGGGCGATTGAAAAGTACGTACCTTTTGGAACGAAAAAGATTACATCGAAATGTCCGTGGAACAACAAACAACTCCAGTCTCTCAAAAATAAAAAGAACAAGGAGTGGAAAAGATCGAAGTCAACCAACAATGACTCTGACTATTTGCTTGCGCTCGAAAATTACAGCAAACTTAACACGGAACTGTACAATTCGTATGTCGACAAAATGACTTCTTCACTGAAGTCCGACCCTACATCGTTCTGGCGTTTTGTCAACACGAAGAAAAACAGTAACTGTGACCCAAAATTCGTTGCATTATGGTGACAAATCATCGGTTGATAAGATGGAACAGGCTGAAATGTTTGCAACATTTTTCAAAAACAATTTTGCAAATCAACCATCTCAAATTCAATCGACAGCACAAGCGTCAACTCAAACAAACTCTAACGTAAATAATTTCATTCTTAACGAATTCTCTGTTTTTGACGAGTTACTAAAAATTAACTCTAAGAAAGGCGCGGGACCGGATGGAATTCATCCAATCCTTCTTAAAAATTGTGCTGCCTTATTATACGAACCGCTGTCAATGATTTTCAATGATTCGCTTTCTTCGAGTCATCTTTGACAACAAACTCAACTTTATAAAACACATCGATTCAATCGTTGTCAAAGCAACATCAGCACTCGGATTCGTTAAGAGATTTTGCTACGATATTCCTGATGTCAATACTCTCAAGTCATTATACTGTGCTCTCGTGCAATCAATCTTGGAGTATGGCTGTTTGGTATGGCTCCCGTACCATGATATACACAAGAACAAAATCGAATCGTGCCTGCGTCAATTCTCAATGTTTGCTCTCAAGGAGTATCCAAATATTTCAAATGACTACAGGATATCAGCGTACAGCACTCGGCTGGAGAAACTAAACATGCAATCACTCCAAAGGCGCCGTATAAACGCATCAATTTTATTCAAATTCGACTTGATGCAAAATAATGTTCACTGCCCATCACTGAAGACTGAAATGGCCCGCAATCAAAATGAACGTAACTTGAGAAGTGTCGAGTACTTCAAAATCAATGACAAATTGATCCGTTCCACTCAACCAGATGTGCAAAATGTCAAATAGGGTCCACGAACTATTTTCAATGCAATCAAAGAGATCAACTTTCAAAAATCGACTTTTAGCCTTAAGCGATGATCACTTTTCAAACTTGTCATTGGTGTCCAATTATAACACTGTTTTCTTAAACGAGCAAATGTGATACATTGTGATTTATTTTTTATATAGATATAGTATTTAAAATTATATTTATTTATTAGTTTCCGACTCATCGAAACCGCGTGCAATTTGAAAATATTAACTATTTATAAGTGTTTTTTGCTGTTTGACGGGATAACTTTTGGCTATTACAGTAAGACGTAGCTAATTGTTTATTCATTTATTTTTTATAAAAAGATGTAATTTTAACTTTTGGCCATGGGGGGCGTAGTGACCGCTGCGAATTCGGCGACCCCATTCGGTCTATTTACCTTTACCGTGCAGCCTGGGATGGTGGCTGAGTGTCATTCGGTCTACTGACCCGGGCTGGTGGACCGTGTGGGTGACCGTTAGAATATCGTATGTGGTCGTAAGATTATTATTAAAAATATGTGGTTTTTAACGGTGATCAGATGTTTACCATAGTATATCACTGATTCATACCTTTTTCCCACCAACAAATGTATAAAAAATTGTATAAACTCAAAAGATTCAGCCAGTTTTGGCGGTGAATAAAGATTATTATTATTTACAAAACAAAGTATGAGGTTTGACTACACTCGGGCCCCCTTACAATGCCAGATATACCAACTCTCTCGCGCAGAAAAAATTCAAAATATTACTACAGTGTTTTTACCACTTTTTCTTCTATAGAGGCTTTTATTTTCATAATGATTTGAATGAATACAGCATTTGAACGGGGAGCATACTAGGTCCACTTTTCAGTACTTTTCAGTACATACTTTCTTGTTGCTCAGGTTTTGCAACCTATTGCAAGACAGTCTAATGCACCACAGTGTGTGTCTAATGCACCACAATAAGTAGTTCGTTGTCCAAAAATAAAATTTAGGCGAGGATTGGTTTCACATGCCCTTTTAAATAAATATAGTAATATTACATTATTGGATTTTTCTACATGTTTTTCATTATTTTTCTGTTATTTTTCGACTTTAAATCACCTGGAGTCATCTATAAAGATCAACTGTTTCGATGAGTTTTATTTCGATCACGAATTTACCTAATCAAATGATTTTCTGGTATTCGCATCGATTTTTGTGGTTCAGCAGAACTCATAAGTCTCTTGTGCTTAATTTTTTTTCGTTCAGCCTCATGTTTTTACCATTTTAACAAAATGTAAATGTTTAATATTAATTATATATTCATAGCGATTGCGTGAAAAATATTGCGGGTTATTGGTATTGTTTAAGTTTTAATATTAATAAAGTGATAACTTTTTCTTAGCTCTTATTATTGAGAGACCAAATTAGCCCATTGAATTTTTGAAAAATTTTGAAATTATCCCCTCCAATCGCCAACGTGAGAAGCTATTAATCTACTACTTTGCCATGTCCTTTAAGTTCTTTTTGTAACAATGAGTGAAATAATTTAAATTGATTTTTTGGTGAGTTTGTGATTTCACCACAAATTCAAAACTCATTGTTCATCGAATTCAATATTTTCTGTTGAAATCATAGCTGTCCACGAACGTTCGTTCGTTAGTTCGTAGAATATTTTTTTGGTGTTTTTGTTCGTTCGTTCGTTCGTAGAAAATGTGTTGTTCGGATTGTTCGTTCGTTGTTGTAATTTATTTTCTCAATGTACACAAATTTTGCGATAATAACTGTAAATTGGGAGAACTTTAAATCGATTTTTCTCACTTTTTCGATGGGAAATCATGACAAATAAACAAAATGTTGAGCAACACCTGAGTGGTTCGATGGCCCAAAGTCCAAATCCGGTGGAATTCGGATTTGACCTGGATTCCAGAACTTCCATAATGTATTTACAATTCAAAATACAACCAATTACACGAAGAATGGATTTTTTTGTAGAATATCATTGAACCGCTCGGGTGCTGTGGCTCCAATTTACATTTATTATCGCAATATTCGTTTACATTGAGAAAATAAATTTCCATAAATTACGAACGAACGAACGTGTTCGTTGTTCGTACGCGTTCGTACGAACATACGAACGAATATACCGAACAATTCATTTTCTACGAACGAACGAACAAAATATACATTGAAAACGAACGAACGGTTCGTTCGTTGGTGTTCGTGGACAGCTATGGTTGAAATTGAAACATCTTATTGACCTCAAGATTCCACAACGATTAGGTGCCTTTCCGCTCTAACTGAATAGAAAAAAATAGAGTCCGTTGTGTTTATACTTTGATCAAATAGCATTAATAATAGTAAATACCCAACTCCCAATATATAAATTGAATCGTTGTGGCGAAAGAGTAGCTCTTATTTTTCTCCAAATAATACTGCAACATGAAGTTTTTTTCACACGGTTTATTTGTTGTAATACAACAAATAAACTATTCATAAAAAACTTTATGTTGCAGTATTATTTGGAGAAAAATAAGAGCTACTCTTTCGCCGCAACGATTCAATTATTACTTTAATCTCAGTCTTGGTTTTTAACAGGGAACTTACGAAAGTCGCTAAGAGTTATATAGCATTGAAAATATTAGTGTTTTTTGTTCAACAATTATTTTTTGAATGAAATTCTTTTTTAAAAAATATTACTTACAATGTTGAGCGATCTGATCCAACCGATGATGAGACTGCAATTCCACCCGAATTTTGATTATTCGAACCTTAAATTAAATCATATAGTGAATAGAAAATGAAAATATTTTCGTTCAACATAAGACATTTGGGTTTACTTACTCAAATTATTATTATTATTATTATTATTGTTATTATTAGAAGCGGCATTTCCACTAGCTGCTGATGAAGTATTCAACGCAGAAATATTCGCATTATTTGTAGTTCCAGTTGCAACCTATGCGAATAATAATGATATGTATGAATTTAGAGTAACTGACAATAAAATTTAATTTGATGAATTTTCTGAATATATTCATAATCCGTAACATATTTTTCTAATTATGAAGCGCGAAAATTTTTAAATTTAAATATACCTTTGAATTAGTCGGATTAGCTCCACTGCTACTTCCAGAAGACGGTTGTTGACCTGATCCTGTACCTGTATTATTGCCACTGTTAGTTGCAGCTGTTGGTCCAACACCTGTTATAAAACGTTGAAAGATTTCTGCATTTTTTAAAATTAATCTCGATTTGTAACATAAAAAACATGTTATTTCTTAAGATTTTTAACCCTTAACCGGGCAGGTCGGTTCTCTGAGGGCCGGTAGCGCATTTAAAAAAAAAGATACATAAAATCGCATAAAATATTATTTTAATCAAACAAATTGTTTTGTATTATATTCTTCCATCCTTCTACTAATCGTTGATAAAAGTTGTTTTGAATTTGGTTCCCTAAGTAGCGCTGTATTGAGGTTTGAACAACTACCGGACGTACATTTTCCATACAAATTGTCATCAAATTTTTTAAAATGAAGTGCAAAATTTGTACTGAACAACTGATGAACTGAAACTTAAATTCATCCAATTCGGAATAAATATTGATTATTTTTCATTTTTTCAGTTATATTTTACAAAAAACATATTTAATTCAATATCTTTTATGTTAAAACAATAATTTTCGTCGTATAAATTCATTGAAATTTGAAAAAAGGAAAAAAAAATTTTTCATTGAATTTGCATGGAAAATGTACGTCGGGTCTCAGAGGCCCCACTTGCCCGATAGCGTTAGTATTTTGACCTGCCCGGTTAAGGGTTAAATAAAAATGCACAAAATTGAATACTAATTTGGACTATTCCAAAATATTGTTGTAAAATACTTTTCAAACTCTTCAATAATACGTCACATATGAGTTATAGTTTTCGTTGGGATGCTACTCGTTATAAATATTCTTAATTTTTAAATGATATTCACTTGATTTTTATTTATATGAGGTGATTCATTAGTCCGTACAGATCTCTCTAAAAATAGAACCCAAATATCTCGTTACAATATTCTTTAGATCAATTGAAAAAATGTTACTCCAATTCGAAATTAATTACAATTCGGAACTTCGAATTAATCGGAAAAAACGGCTGGCATATTTGACCACAATACCGTGCCGGTATTCTAGCATATAATTCCGATTGGATTTATTGTAGCACAATGTAATCGATTGTTCGGGACTACATCAAACAATTGAATCCATTGTTTCATATACAAAACAATAATTCCGATAAAGAATGATTCCAATCGGAAATATTTGGCTAGAATACCGCCACCGGTTGTAAAAAAAGACATTCAATGTAAGTAAAGAAGGCATTACAATTGAATTCACGATTCGCCAATAGCTCTTATTTTTCTCCAAATGATATTGCAACTTGAAGTTTTTTTTCACATAATTTATTTCTTGTATTTAACTATTTATAAAAAAATTCATGTTGTAGTATTATTAAAAAAAAATATAAGAGCTCATTTTTGACGCAAAGATTCAATTGAATGGGCGAGGACTAAAGTGTAATTACAACAATAAATCTATGTAAAAAATGTCATGTTGCTCTTTTATTTTCATTGGGATTTGAGCTCACTTTAATCCTCACCCTGATTTATGACTCCCTCACTGAATTATGTTTTTTTTTTTTGAGAATTTTGACTCGGGAATCGCCCTCTGCTATAGACCAAATAAAATTGATGAACCGGAAAAAGTGTCTATTTACACTTTTAATTCTGTGGTAAAGAGATTATAGGGTACGGATTTATGATGCAACCCATATATTCCAGAAAAACCTATATATTTTATTTATATCATTCGAGGTCTAGAAATAAGATTACCATTTCTAAAAGACCATAAAGGTGGTTTAACGAACATTTTATAACATTTCGATGGCAAAAAACTTTCACGATTATGACATTTGAAAACCATTCTACTATTACATATTTTGAAATACACTTACGTAGGGTTTCAGCACCACTAGAAGCTCGTCTACTAGGTTTCGTGCTTGATGCAGAAATGCTGCGATGGACTCCTCTGTGTGTTGGGCTCTGCACTGATGAGGTACCACCAGCACCTGTTGTCGAGTCATTTCCAGCAATATTTCGTAGTGATAGTGATGATCCAGATCGAGATCCATCAGATTCAGGCTAAAGGGAAAAGTAAGTCAATAAATACGCTAAACTATATATTATACATTTACCATCCCTGCGACATGACAGTGTATTGCAAAAAGTGACATGGTGGCGCCATGTATAACATGGTGGTGAAAGAACAAATTTTCATGTAAGAGCATGTACGACCACATTATTGATGTTAGTTGTTATCAACTTGGATGAAATAATTTGTGGTCGGATGCAAAATGTGCGTGGTCGCAAAGAGTGATCATAAAATTTATCCATTTTCAAAAATAAAATGTTTACAATTAGAAAATTCCTTGCGATTTCATCATTTTTGTATTTAAAATTTATTTCGTTTAAAAAAAGTAGAAGAAAAAACAAATCGTCTATCACAGTGTGGTCGCAAATACGTTGTGTGGTCGCACATGCAAAGTTTGTTCTTTCACCACCATATTACAGGTACATGGCGCCACCATGTCACTTTTTTCATGTCGGGGGGATGACATTTACAGTGGCAGTAAAGCTTATTATAGAGATTGAAATTTTTCTTTTGAACGTAGCGGTGCAGTGGAGGGCGCGTAATGGAACTACGTGCCCATCACATTTACAGAACTTTTGGCAACACTGTTCGTAGTGTTTTGACATTTCATGAAATGTGACATTAATGTTCGTTCATTTGAACCGTGTTTGAGTTTTTGAAATAAAGTGATGAAATTCTAATTTATTATTGTGAGTTTGATATATATTTTATTATTATGATAAAATAACAGTGAAAAAAATGTGTGAAAACATATGTAAGTATTGAAAATTTCAAAAAAATTAGTTTAAATTTCTTGAATTGAATTGGTAAAATTTCTTCTTATTTACAAGGTGCGTTGTTCTTTAAGGAGTCAGTCAAAAATATATTTCTTTTTACTACATGTGTTTGTTATGAGTATCTCTGAGCGGTGCACTGTGAGTGTGTAAATGTGTTACGGCTGGAACAAAAATGTGCTAACGGTGGCACAAGTGTATTTACTCGACCGTAATCGACAGAACGGATAACTAACTTTCAATAATTCTGAGGAAAACTCAATAATATTTTTTAAAAATATTGAACTTAATGACGCTTAATGAAGTAATAAAAAAGAAATATATTTTTGATTGACTCCTTAAAGAACAACGCACTTTGTAAATAATAAGAAATTTTGCCAATTCAATTCAAGAAATTTACACTTGTCTTTTTGAAATTTTCAACACTTACATATTTCACACATTTTTTTCACTGTTATTTTATCATAATAATAAAATACATATAAAAACTCACAATAATAAATTAGAATTTCAAAAACACGGTTCATATCAACAAACATTAATGTCACATTTCATGAAATGTCAAAACAGTAATAACAGTGTTGCCAAAAGTACTGTAAATGTGATGGCGCCACCAGTACTAAAATACTACACTGCGCTAGGACGCTTTTGAATGAAAAAAGCTGTTTCCAATTTCATAGATAGATATTGTTATCATTCACTGTTTCAAAAACGGTCTATCTCTAAAATTTATATTATTTTACTTACATCCGTACTCTTTCTTCCAAGAAGCAAATACGTTGCGAACACATCATCATATCGAACTTGTGACAGTGAATCTTCAATCTCCTGTCTGTTATAGCCCATTGCCACTAAAGCTTCTACTTGATTAATAAATGTAATTTAATCGTCGATTTCATAGAGACAGGAATAAAAATTACACAAAACCAGATTAATTGTATTTATAAACATTTTCAAATCATTAATAATACTTTCTATTAAGTGAACGCTCTAGAATAAAAACAACGTACAGAATGGTTGTTATATCAATGCGGAACGCGGCGTTTTTTTATATAGAATTGTTGCTGTATTACATTTTTTCACTTTTTACATTAGTAAAATTTATATAAAATATGTTACATACAGTAGAATACTTTATAGATCTATATATAATGGATGTCTATGTCTAAAATTAAGAGCCAAACAAGTAGAAGAGCAGTAAATCGAGAAAATTTTACTTTCGACCATTCATTTATTGTATTGATAATGAATACTCTTCTCATTGTTTCCCAAATTAGTAAAGAATGAGCTTTTGAAGTTAGTAGAGAAATGGAATACAGTACCCGTCTTACCTATCCGCTTTGGATCTTTTAAGTCAGGTTTTGGTTCTGTGTATGGTTTCAATTCATCTTCAAATTCATATCCCATATTCATCCATTTATCGTGCATAATTGCTTCTAAACTAGAACGTTTTGTTGGGTTCAGTACAAGGAATTTACGGAGTAAGTTTTCACAGTCTGTTGACATATAAAATGGAATTCTTTTTGGAGTTTAACAAAAAGAAAAGTAAATGGGGTTATTAAAGATTTATTCAATTTTCTTCAAATTATTTCATTCTTACCTGTACTTTCCTCTCAGTACTCTTTCGCGTAACTCACGCAATGTTGTGCCATCAAATGGTAGTGATCCACTTACTAATGTATATAAAATGACACCCAATGACCAAACGTCAACTTCAGGTCCATCATATTTCTTGCCTTGAAATAGTTCTGGAGCCGCATATGGTGGGCTTCCACAAAATGTGTCTAACTTGGAACCAGGTGTAAATTCGTTGGAAAAACCAAAATCAGCTATTTTGATGTTCATCTCACTATCCAATAGTAAATTCTCGGCCTTTAAGTCTCTAAAAGGAAAAAAGATAATATAGGAAATAAACTTTTTGAAACTCTTTTTCCATACATTTTAATTATATAAATAGAAATTTAATCACCGAATTCTTCTAGTAACGAAATTTGGAATTTTAATTCAAATTTTCTCCTAAAAGTTATACATATACTATATGTCGTAACTCAAAAGTACTTGCCTGTGAATTATCTTTTTTTGATGACAGTACTGAACAGCTGAAACAATTTGTCGAAATTTGGCACGAGCTTCTTTTTCTTTCATTCGCCCATGTAAAACCAAATAATCGAAAACTTCGCCGCCGGAAGCATACTCCATTACCTTAATTCAAATTTATTCAAGTTAATTCAAATGTATTTTATTTTTAATATTGATTTATTGGAAATTGAATGTAAAAACTTTATCGAAACAACGAATCAAGTAATCGTATAAATCAGATTTTTCTTCAGCCGATAGCTTCGTAAATATTTCCGAAAATGATGAGCGTCACGAGATCTTCGTCTGGGAAGTGATTCAAGATGGATTCAAGACGCTGTACATTCGCGTTGTCAACTATCAAAATACGATGTTCTAGGCCATACTGATACTTCTTCATTTTTAACAACATTTCACAGCTTTTTTCTCGTGTGTGATTAGTTCGCTTTTGGTTTTTTCCGCAAATTTATTAAATGTGTAGATTTTCTCATCTCATGATCAGACGACCACTGTTTGGTCTTTAGTGTCTGCTCACAATTTTTGATTCATTTAAATACTTGATTCGCTGTTTCAATAACATTATTGATTTCAATTTCTTATAAATCAATATTAAAAACATATAAAATGCATTTGAATTAATTTCAATTACCAAGTAAAGAGTCTTATCCGTTTCAATAACTTGAAACAACTTAACTATATTTGGATGATCAAGCATTTTCATGATTCGCACCTACAATTCATAATATAAATTTATCATTAATATTTCTATATGTAAACTTATATTTTATCCATAAAATTTCAATGTAAAAAATAATTATTTTTATCAATCTTCTATTAGATGAACAACAATCTTGATTTCATAAACTGTTCAAGTCGCAACGTTAGTTTAATTTAAAAAAGATATCAACCACGGTACTTCCGAAAAATCAACGATTTTTGTAAAATACACTCATAATTATAATTTTTTCCATACATCTCATAACTTCTGGTCTTAAGAACAACAGTCTTTCTAAATTACCTCTCTGAATAGTTTTTGGAGCGACCCAGGGTTCAATTGGGTTTTGTCTATAATTTTGATAGCGACTTCTTTTCCGGTTGGTACATGTTTTGCCAATTTTACCTTGGCAAAGTTACCTTTTCCGATTGTCTTTAAAAGTCTGTATTTGCCTATATGTTCATCACCAGGTCTCCATCGAAGTGAAACTCCTGGTCGATACTGCGTATTCGGCGATCCTTGTTTAAGTGAATCCTGTTGATTAATATAATAGAATTTATTGTAGATGTATAAAACATTTTTTTTTCTTCAAAATATATAATTATGAACATGTTGAGCCATAGTAATAATAATAACTGCACCAACTGTGCTATACCAGCATAAATAGCTATAGCTCTAAAAAATACATAAACATCAATGAAACGTACACATACTACTTTGATACTGAACGCGTTGTTCTTTCAAATTTATTAAATAATATTTATAGATCAATATAGCAGCACAATTTTGTCAGCTGTGAACTGAAATTGACAAAATTTTGTCAGTGAAAGCAAAACTAATTTGAGCTTAAATATTTCATAAGTGTTGCGTGTTTTGTGAATTTAATTCCCATATTAAAATCGTTTTTAAAACTTCTAACTTTTATAATCAATAAAGATGCAATGACATAGCTTTTATGATCATAAAATCACTATCAGGGGCAAGATAACTTAAAGTTTAGGATGTGTTTCATCAATTTTGTCTTTCTACAATTTATATTTAATGGCTACACACTTCAATCTAGTTAAAGTTTTTCGTATGGATTGATCTCTTGAAATATGTTTAAATATTCAACGACATATTTTATCCATCTAAAGTCAAAAAAATTAGAACTGTACGCTTTTTTTAAATGGTCATTTTTTCTAATATGTGGCCAAAGGGCCTTATAATTAATCTTATAGTGATTAATTATTACATAGACATAACCTATAATGTTGGCAATCCGACTTTCCAACTATCGTCTCGAACAGCCGTTCGGTCGATTCTATATTATTGAGAATACATTTATCAAGATATTTTCCGAACAATGATTGAATGGCTAAGTTCTGAATTACTAAATTACTGTTTTTTTTTTTCGAACGATACCGTTTGACGAAAAAAAATTTCGTATAAAAAATGAAAATAAATTTTCTTTAATTTTTAATAAATCTAAATGTCACTCCAAATTTTTCAAAACACTTGATAATTCATTTGTTGTTATTATTTTTTGTTGATTAATTTATAAAATAGTAGTTAATAAGAAAGGAATACGGTTGTTGTAGAATAGTCAGTAATTATTAACACAAAAAAGGAGAAAAACACTCGTTGAAATAACTCACTAATTTCACATAAGCAATACAATTAACTCTCATTATGGCTGTTGCCATTCTTATACACTGCTAAGTTAGATGAGTCTTGTATAGATTACTCTTTAGGTTGAATCTAATTATGGTTAATCAAAAAAATAGCCACCTTTTGAAATATCGATCTTTTTTTCTCTCCCTATTTATGATATAAATATAACCATTTTGATTTTTGATATAAAGAAAAAATTGAGAAACACTTTATATTTAAAGACTAGACCATTCAAAAGCTGTAGCTTCTAAGTCGATAGAAGATTTCAGTTTGGTGTATCCAGTATTTTCCACGAATTTTCCACATAATTTACTAATGATTATATTATAGTATAATGATTTTATCGATTTATTGAACAAAATATTTTATATTTTCGAATATTCAGAATGTTTACATACAGATTTATTCATTCATAAATTTTGAAACCGTTGAAACTCTATGAACGTTTTAATCGTTGACTAAATTGACATTAAATTAACAAACTTTTATGTTTTACCATTTTGGATAAGTTTCATTACATTTTTACTAGTTTTCCATTTTATCAATCGATTTTCAAGTATTTCTATTTTATTTTTTCAAATCGAAGTCATTTTTTTGCGAAAAATGTTCAAGGCAATCCCAGGTGGTCAAATTTTTCTAAAATATTTTTCCATTTTTTCCTATCTTTTGTTAAATGAATTATTTTTATTTATGGCATGTTAAAATTGATACAATGATGGTGAAAAATTCATTTTTAAACTAAACGAGAAAATATTATATCATTTGTTTTACCTTATCACGAATGGAATTTTGATGCTGTGTTTTATATTCGTTTTTCGAAGATTTATTTTTGCTAGTTGCAATAATTGGCAATCCACCATTCTCCATCATGGTGACCACAACTTTCCGATTTCCGGAACACGTTGAATTTCGCTGAGCCGAAATATTATTATTGTATGTTGTGGGTTTATTTCCAGAAGTTGTTGAATTATGTGAAGCAATGCTCCCACTATTATCTTTGATCACTTCAAGTTCTTGGTTTTCTTTTTCTTTGATTCTTTGAATATCTTTACGATAGTTGAGATATGCATCTTTAGCTGTAGCTTGTGAATGGCTCTTTGACCTTTTCAAAAATTTGATCATATGATTCCGCATTTTATTCTGAGAACCTGCACTTGTGACATCGACATTTCCATTAGTGCTACTACTATCTGCATTTTGTACGTCAATTAAGCGCTTAAAACTCCCATCTGGTAATTTGTTATAACAAATCTCAGACATTTTATGGTACGAATCTGGAGGTAATTTATGGTAACCACCATCCGGTGTTTTGTAATAACATGAATCAGTTTTGTGATATCCTTCAGCCACCATGTATATATCTTTCTTGTTTGATGTTTTGTTTTTTTCCATACTAATTAAATTTTTATTGGATGATGAACCAAATATACTGCAAGGTGTTCGAATGTCTGCCATTGGTATACTATTTTCATTTATTTTATTTGTATTATCACTACTTTTGTTATTGTTACTAATTTCAGTGTTTTTTGAAGTAATTGTTTTCAATGAGTTCGTATCACTATTATCGAATTGATTTATTTTGGATTGTCCAGTAATATCTGATGAATCGCACCCTGAAATATCACAGGTTTTTTTTCTTTAATCGAGGATAAATTACAGTACTAACAATTCAATGTGTCATTCAATTTTTTACAACATTAATTGGAAATACGCAAGAAATGATATCATATATCTCACCCGAATCTTGTGGAACATTTTCTAAAGTTTCGATTATCCTCTGTGTTCGATCATAACTTAATGATGGAGAATTATCAGATGTAGTACCATTTGATGGATATATTGGCAAATTATATTTTTGATTTTTTGCATTTTTCACAATTTCATAAGCTTTTTTTCCCCCATCCTGTAAACTTATATCAGCAACTTTTTTTCTAATACTTGAGTGCCTTTTAATTCTAAATGAACGACTTAATATTCAAAAATAAAATATTACAAAAATGTTATTGTAGTAATCAGTTTTTTTAATAAAATATAATCTGTACTTCTAGTTGTAGTAATTAATACAAAATACTACATTCATCTGTGGTTAATAAAGCATTTCAGATACAATAAGTTTATAGTAGTTTGATAGGTTTAAAAAAATTGATCGAGGTCCTAATTGAATTTGATAAATTCAAAATTAAATGTATACTGAATAACATTATGTTATTACTCGTATGAAGTGGAACTTGCTTTTTTCCATCTAATTCAATGTGTTTTAAATTGTTCAAAAAAAAAAATAGAGACAAGATTTCTATCATTCACAATTTTTTTTGGTTTGAGTATTAAACTGTGTATAAGATGATTTGACTTGATTGTTAGTACATCTAATAATTTCCTAGGGGTTGGACACTCGGATTAGGAATCGTCATTTGCTTCGGATTCGTAAATACTAAATAGCAGTCGGATTCGTGGTTTTTTACTAAAATTGTTTTAACAATTTAATGAAGCAATTTTAATGTATTGAAAACATTGGAAATTAAATATTTTTTGTTAAAATTGGTATCAAATTTATGAATTAAAATTATTTTAATTGATGTACGGCTTATGAATATAAATAAGTTCATTTATAAAACAATGTAGATATAATAAGTTCATTGATCGTGTTTTGACAGTTTCGAACAACGAACTTATATACGTATACAAAATATGTAGTCATTGGAAATTTAAATGTTAAAGGATCGAGTACTATCTGTCAAAATATTTCCCCCTATGCCAAGCGAAATTAATTCGATATACGGCGCTGATGTAAATGTCACTCTGTCATTTCACAATAATACTTTTTTGGCTTAACAATATATAAGCTCTTCATTTAAAATGCATACACATTCATAATTATTGAATCGTTGAAAAAAAAACATGTCATAAAATATTTTTCTAACATTTTTCATTAAAAACTTTATTAATTTTTTTTTTTATAAAAAAATTAATTTGTTTATAAATTACAATAATTTCAACAAAACATGTTTCATCGATTAAATAAGAATCTAATGTAAATAGTAATGACAATGCGACACCTACCGTAAAAATGCAAAAAGAAACTTATCCATTGTAGCATTTTTGTCCACCATGACAGCATCTTCGTTTTACTTGACCAATCACAGAGAAGCAAAACGAAGATGCTGTTATGGCGGACCAAAATGTTACAATTCCAAATAAGTTTCCTTTTCTATTTTAACGGTAGGTGTCGCATTGGTATTACTTTTTACATTAGATTCTTGTTCAATCTATGAAAAAAAAAATTGAAATTATTGTTATTTTTAAACAAATAAATTTAAAATATAGAGAATTTTTATGATAAACGTAAGAAGAATATTTTAACATATGATATGTTTCTATTTTTTACTCGACCGTTCAAAAATTATGCATGTTGAATGAAGAGCTTATATATTGTCAAGCCAAAAAATGTATCATTGTGGAATGACATAGAGTGACATTTAAATCAGCGCCGTATATCGGATTTATTTCGCTTAGCAAAGGGGGAAACGTCGTACTCGCTCCTTTCTCTTAATTTTTAGTTCCAATATCTCAAAATTACAAAAAATATTAAATTTCAATGTTTTAAATTCAAATTAAATGCTATCGTTGTGTATATACTGTACAACCAGAATATAAACTTGATTATTGAATTTTTGGGAATCATCGGAATAGTGAGAATTGTAAGAATAGCGAGAATCGTGGATTTGCTGTATATTCTTCATTTTCGAACGGTGTACAACCCCTAGATAATTTCTTTCAAAAAAGACATTGAGTTTCGAGTGAGATTTTTTTCAATATTCCTTTTAAAAGAATCAAATTCATCTGCTATTTCTGCAATGCAAGTTTCACACTTGCATCGCTCGAAAATAAAATTGAATTCAATTAATCCATTCATTCCTAATCCAGACCATTTTATTTAAAATTATAGACTCTTTTAAGTCACCATTTGAATGAACAGGAAAAAAACAATTGTTACCCATTGCATAATGTCAAATTTTGATGAATCACAAAATTATAAAAAATCCTTATGTGTCTATTCTTATATCGGCCATTTTGAATGTGTACTATAAATTATTTATCAATTCTACGGTACCATTTAAAGAAATGATACAATATTCAGAAGACACTTTCCCATTTTCTGTCTGAAGTAATAGAATAGAATCTCGTAAAAAAAATCGAAATTATTCCATTATGCAGTCGGTGTAAGATGAATTTTCAATCAGCTCCCAACACACACCCATCTCTGTCATACCGAACAAAATGAACCATCTAACACAACTCAAGTCATGCATTTCATTTTCAATTAAAAAACATGAATTATTTTTGAGAAATCAAGTCTCGATATTGCGAATTAAGTCTTTCGTTATTGCAACAAATAAGGTATATTTGAGATAGCATTTTTTGTATATTATTGCCAAAAAATCATATTAAAAGGAATTCCAAAAAATATACGATACGCCCGAAAGGCGTGAAAATAAAATCCGCAAACGTATTTATTATTTTGTGTTATTTTGACGTTTTTTGGTAAGACGAGGAAGAAACGCAAATTTCCCGTAGCGGGAGTCCTGTTTGTATTTTATTTAGTATATATAGCAGTGTATTCTTGAAAATTACTTGTGTTTCATAGATTTCACCTTAAAGCGCGTCTAATAAGAAATCAGGAAATACATAAAGGTTGCGTTTACCTTGAATGTCCAGTTCGCTTTACTCGCCATATTTGTCATTACCAATTATTTATTATTTTCATTGAAATAAATTAAACACACATACAGTACATTGCCAAATGTCGACACACGACCAAATGTCGGAATTGAAATTAAAAATTGAAAATTCATTTTAATTCTATTTTTTAAAGTAAATTATGAAAGATCAATATCAAATTTCTTTATTATAATCCAAATTTTAATCCAAAATCTATTATTGCTTTCACAAATTACGTTCAAAGAAAATTCGATAAGCCGAGAAGGGGACGATGAATATCCGACATTTGGAATTTTCGATGTTACGACGGAAAAATGGAAAATAATATATTTTGGAAATTACTTTCTTTTGACAAGTGTGAAATGAAGCACAATTAAATTCTGCATAAAATTGTGTATAGAATGATATCTTTAAAAGAAAGCAAAAGTGTAAATATCAAATTGAAGTTGAAAATTCAAACAATTAGTCCGAGATTTGGGCGAGTGTCCATATGTGTGAAAGAAATTAAAAATTAAAAATGGCATAAAAACTAATGAATTTGACGAGAACAAAGAGTAAGAAAGCTGCATCACCACGACATTAAAATCGTTGAAAAAAAAACACCTTTTTTTCAGTCTTCAGTTGGCGATTTCGGTCTGATATCTTAAAGAACTTCGTGAAAAAGTGAGTCTGCTGTCAAATGTCAATATTTTATCGAACCCTTCTATGGAATTACTTAGTACCAAAAAGTGGCGCCACTGTACATTTCCAACTCCTTTAATTTAAATTTGAAATTGAAAATTGTTTTAAAGTAGTTTCAAATCGAAGATATTCGAAACACATATTTAGCACTTAATTGCGTCATTTTTTTTTACTTTCAGATTGTATTTTTTAAGTCAAATACACTTTAATTAGACTTCAACTAGTAGTACAGATTGCTATGAAATAGATTCAAATTTGCTATCGCTTTCTTAATATACCTTTTACGTTTGGATGATCGGTTGCTTTCGGCACTGCCACTACTACCTTGATGGATGTTTGCTTGTCCCATTTGAATTTTATTAATTGGGGGTTTCTTCGAAAATTCGATTAAAATACTTATTGGCGTTTTGTACAACAAATTTGCCAATAGTTGCTTATTTTCAATATTTCATTTATATACTCAAAAAAATAAAGCTAAAAAATAAAATAATTTTTTTTCGATATTAATATTATAACATTCCGAACAACGACGTTTAAAAAAAACAGGTATCATATGTATTGTCTTCTAAAGGAAATGTCCATTTCAGGCCCTAAAAGCAATCGCCGTGCAACGCGGAGTTTTTTCACGATGTTACGAATAAAATGAACTGTTTCTAAGATTTTATAAAGACACGAGGCCATTTTTGTTTTATCAATGGCAAAACAGTCGAACGAGTAACGGAAATTAGGTGTTGTGATTGATTCCAAGTTGAGTTTCTCAAAGCACATTGAATATATAAAAAATAAATCATCGGCTATGCTGTCATTTGTTAAAAGAACATGCAGGAGAAAATTCGATATAAATAGTGCCAAACTATTGTACGGGTCTCTGGTTCGCTCAAACATGGAATTTGCGAGTTCAATTTGGCTTTCACATCACAAATGTTATAGAATTGCAGTTGAAAGTGTTCAAAAACAAGCAGTTATTTACTTGAATGGCGATTATCTGAATAGAGATGAAAATAATTATCAACTTGCTCCATATATTGACCGTTGTAAAGAACTTGAATTGGTGTCATTGATTCGTCGTCGAATAAATGCAGCAATATTATTTTTACAGAAAATAATATCTGGAAAATACAATGACCCAATGATCCGTAATCAAATTAAGATAAATAGTGGCAGAAGAACCATCAGAAATCCAGAATTCATCAAAATTCAATTTCACAGTACTGATTATGGTTTATATTCAATATTGCTTGTCGTGCATTTAATCATGCGTCAATGTTCATCGACCCGACTCTACCTTTCTTGGAATTCAAAGAAAAATTGTTGAGATTGCCAGATATAGTTTTTAGCGACTTATTACACCTGAAATAATTGGGAGAATTTTTGTTTTTGGTGGTTTCTTTTTATCGATCTAAAAATGAAACTTCCAATCCAGGTTATAATTCTTAAATCATTTGTAATTCATTTAAATTAATTTAAATTTTTTTATTCGGGTGCTTAAATAGTATATATCGCATACAAATCGTTGGATCTCATGGAGGAAGGATTATCGTTAGCGGCCATTCTTTAGGCTGACATAAAGCTTTAAAACTTATGAAATGAATCGATATGGAGCACTTGGATCAGATTGCAATCAAATATAATTTAATTAAAAATGTGATATTCTAAAATGTAAAATTCATAAATTTTAAATTTTGTATTTTGTATTCAAGTTCTATTTTTACTTGCATATATTTATTTGACTTTTGTTATTTTCTTTTTTACAATCAACATTGTTGTGATATTTTTCGACTTGAATTTTTGCTTAGACAAACAACTATTGTTGTATTTTTTATTTTTTATATTGAACTTGTTGAAATTCATTTGGATTTTTTTTTTTTTTTTGTATAATTGACTGTACAGTCAGTTGTATTGCTTTAGATTAAAATTGTTAGAAAAGATCTTGGTTTTTAATGAGGGAATTTATCCACTCTTTTCCAAGCAAAAAACATTATATTCTCATCCTGCTATAGGTAGACATTAAAACCAAATAAATAAGTTCGTAGAAAGAATTTTTCTATTCGTGGTCGTTCGTGTTTGCTAAGAAAGATGGCGTGATCGTTCGCATTCGTTAGTAAACATTTTTTTTCGATTCGCGTTCAAAAATGCAGAAAAAATGCCAACGTAAGTAAAACATAATCGATTCAAGATTAATTCTGTTATTTGGAGGAACATTTTTTGGAATATATAATTCCAATCACGGGGGACGGCAGTCCCCCAAGTGACGCAATACCCACATACATATGAAATATGTAAATTTTGCGTCACTCTATTTATACGTTAAAGAAATGAAAATCGATACCGCTGACTTTTGGAAATATTTTAGTAGTGCTCGGGCACCAAATTAAGAATCCGCAAAAAAATTTCAAAATTTGGCCGCCAGGTGGCATTTTGAAAAAAATCGCTGAAAATTCCTTTTTCTCGATTTTTGACAACCGACGTGCTTTTTTCGATTTTTTTTTGACATATTCGGAATCTAGGGACCGCGTAGATAATGTTAAAAAAAAATATCATCACGATCGGTTGAAAAGTGGACGAGATATGGTCAATTGACCAAAAATGGCCAAAAACCTCAAAATTGGTCGCTTGGGGTGTTTGTATGTCCTCTTTTTTTCCGTTGTTTTTGAAAAATAGTTTTGAAACCAATTTTTATTGAAAGTAGATGAAAAACTGAGAATATATGTGCTTTTGAAATTTTCGATTTCGTCTCGCATGTCTTTCTGGGGTCGAGCCTTTTTGGGAGGCCCTTTTTGGGTTTTTCATCAATCGGACATTTTTCTGGCCATCTGTAAGGTACAACAATGATTTATACGTCGTTGGAAAGGTACGAGACTCACCTTTCTGGACCCGAAGTCAAAATGAATTTTTTTTTCAAAAATGTTCACCAGGTGGCGTGTTATGTGACATTTTCGGCGAAAAATGACCATGACTTTTTTTACGTAATCCAAATTTAAAAAAAAAAATTGTCTATGAAAAAAATCAAAAAACTAGGGTTTCGTTGGGGACCAAATATGTGATGATTTGGCGTATGTGTCATATCTGGGAAAATCCCGAAGTTGAAATTTTTTTTCGGACAATTTTCAATTTTTCGGCCATTTTTGATCACATGTAGATGGGGTATTTTTCAATGAAATCATGGCAATTCTTGGCAATTGGAAAGGAATTAAGGTCATCTTGATGAAGCAATAAAGAAATTTTGAAAAAAAAAAAATCAGCGTAAAAGGTTGGATCAGTATGACTAGACGTCGAAAAATCGAAGTTGATCGTCCTATATCTCGAAAAAATGTATGATTGGCTTGGTTCTTTTCATCATAGATCGAAAGCGCACTCAATTTTAAGGCGATATGCACATTTTTAAAAACCATCATTGTTTCATTTGGTAAAAATGAGGAAAAGTTTGAACTTAAGCGGCCATTTTAATATCTTATCCATTAGTAATCAATTGCAATGCAATAGGTTTTTACTTTGTTTGTTCAATTTGACAACTGATTTTACATAATTCGGACCCGAGGAATTCAACCGTGGTAACCATTTTGAGAAATTAGTTCAATTTTTTTAGATTAATCGGCTTGAAACCTTTCTTTTGGAATAATATTTCGGAAAAAATTGGCTTTTATTCGATTGCTATGAAAATTGGTATTTTGGGGGTTTTTTTATACGAAAAAACTGAATATGACATTTATTTTGCGGTAGAATTTGTACATGGTACATTTGTTATACAAAAATCTTCATCTTTTGCCATTTTAAACATATTAACGGTAACCAAAATACTATAAAAACTATTGATATAAGTAAAAAACACTTCTTTCGAAGTTCCCAGTGTGACGCAATACTGTAAATCTAAAAATGGTCTGATATAAATTTTCAGTGACGCGTTCGCTCAAATATGTACAAAATGTTATTATTGCGTCGCCTCTAAAATGCAAACACAAAATGCATGACATGTCTAAAAGTTAGAACAGAGCGTTTTTATTTTTGATTAACTTATGTTTCACTTTGAACAAAAAACCTGCTGTTTTTTACTCTAAAGCAATTATTTTCAATTGTTTTTTAGTTAATAACTATGAGGAAATATTCCACGTTCAAATAAACCAAGTTTCCAATTATGAGAAAAATTAATGCATTAGAGTGAGAATGCCAGATCTCCGGATATCTCCTGCATTTTTACGATTTTTATCGAATTTTTCAAGAATAACTTTTATATTTTGAAATATTTCCAAAGTGTTAATTTCCGTATCTTTGATACTGACGAAACCAAAAACAAAAAATTTTGGATGTTTTTCACTTAAGCCAATGAGATTGAAGTTATTTAATGTTGAATTGTTCGATTTTTCAGTCAATTGCAGTAGAGAAAAATATAACTCAAATAAACTTCAATCAGAGTTTGCTATAGCCATCTAACGTCCCAAAATAACCGTCTGTTTCAAATAGGATAAATGCATTTTCAATTGATTTTAGCTAGTAAGTCAGTCATTCACTTCTTTTGCTCACGGGTTACTGATTACTGGTTACTGGTTTGTTGTTTAGTCTCTCATTCTCATGTTTAAATATCGGGATTTCATCCAAATCAATTTGAAATCATCACCAAAGAAAATCTCGCATGCTTACACTCTGATGCTTATTTCTAGGTTAGGTTCTTTGAGTTGTCTCTCGGACGATGATAGAATGTTTTATAGACAAATTAATTGAAACTATTTCTTCTTAAATGGGAATTTCATAAATAGTGATTTTCTTTCGGAACGTGTACTTATATATAGCTTCATATTTTCAAAAAATAATATTCGTCCTGATATAACTTCAGTTTGACTAGAAATTAATGATTTTTTCCAATGAATATTATTCATTTTAACAATATCGGTTAGTGAATTTGAAAGCCATTTATCCAATATAAAATGATGAAAGGAGACAATATTACGGTTTACACAATTTAATGAAAATCTTCCATACATATATTCATACATACATACATACATACATACATACATATGTATATATTTACAATTGTATGACGTATACTACATATTTAATACACAAACACATAAACAAATATGCATACACCTAACTTTGAATATAGTTTTATCACTACCATTTTTTATATTTGTTCGTCAAAAATACATTTAGAAAACATACACATACTTCCTTTGAACACTTTTAATCCAAATTTATTCATTACAAAAACTACAATATGACATTTGTTTGTCATAGAAAGAGAGAGATTCAAAAAGATATAGATAACGATATATAAAAAACAATGTATTGAAGGGGGAGGAGAATGCTGATTCAAAGGTCGCCTCACACTGATTTGATGGAACACACAAAAGTTAAATAATGATCAACCACTGGAGATTACATGATTTCATTATTTATTGATATATATATATATAAATCACTTTACTAGCTTTTCGAACTTTGTATTATTGAATTGAAGTCTATTTTAATACTGCAAACACAATATCAAATGACCAATAATTCGTGTTCAAATGAATGTTGTTAATACCGGAAGACATTTTTCTTTCGTCAATTTCTAGTTGCACTTAAAAAAAAATTGACTTCTAATAATTCGAATATATTGTAGAATATGCACAGCCGTCACATTAGCCTCAATTGAATATACGTTCAATGTTTTTTGTGAATTTGAAATTTCGAAGTAAATCGTTGACTAATTAACTATTGATTGACGTGCTCAAAAATATGAAAATTCCCGCCCTGAACTGTGTGAGTGAACTTACTTGACTGAGAAACCAAAAAAACAAAAGAAATATACGGACTGACTACGAAGAAAAAATTCAACGACCAGTCAAACCACTTATTCACTCCTATCTATATATATGTCGAACACAAATACAAAGAAACATCTATTTTAATAATAACAAAGCGATATAGCATTCACAGTATATACAATCCAAGTTATGAGTCTTACACACATTGTGTGCACTGTTTACACAATTATATTTTGAATGACATGGTTGTTGTATTTATATTGATGTATTTGTATTTATATTCTGACTAAGTTTTGAGCGGCGCCGTGTTTATATTATACTTTTAGTTGAAGCTTAGCAGCGTTCAAGGAACTAAAAAATTACATTACCCCACAGCATCTTGAAATTCACCATAAAAATCATTTAAAAATGAAGGAAAAATATAATAATTTTTTACTTGTGGAAAGAAAGTTGATCACCAGATGAGATATTTTTTATGAGACAAATTTTAAGCCTTCGTATAGTTTTCATTTAAAATGAATTCGAAAGTAATTTTTGTAATGCAGAATTAGACTGACTATTTGGGTTATTTAAAAAAAAAAATTCTAATGGCATAATTTTGGGGAATATTAAATGATGGGTGGAATAATTGTACTCATTCAAATATTCACAAGAAGCTCAAATTATGACATTAGTAAAAAATTTCAGCGATGAATGGCAAATCCATATGCAAAATTCGAATTCATGAAAAAGTGTTACATTCCATCTTCTTGAATATCAATTATTTATTTGTATACTGTGGAAAAAAGCCTCAACCAAACTTAATGAGAAAAGTGACTGTAATAAATTCTTATTCAAGTTTTAATCTGTTAAAATTAAAGTTCATATTAATAAATTGAATTTTATAGTGTACTTTCTTCATTTTGACTTTATTAAATCGTTCAAACGATGAACTTTTATGTCAAAATACAAATTTCTACAGATTTTTGATTTTTAAAAGAGCAGTATCGAAATTAACTAAATCATCCATCCTAAATATATTTATTTTATAACTTAAAACAATTATAGAATGCGTATCACAATTCCTCTTTTATTTTATTCTGATTATAATTTTTGAACGATAATCAGATAAATAATGCATTTTTCGGATATTGTAAGCTTCCCGTATATATACGAATTAAAATCGTCTGAGATATTCTGCTATTAAACTATTTTCCAAACATTCCTATTAAATTGTGTTCATCTAACTGAATCTTATGTGTATGAGGTTGGCTTGTGTTTTTTTTTAAACAATAGCAACAATTGTTGGTACAAGATGTATCAGAATAAACTAGGCAACTGAAAACCTCGATGTTTTCATATTACTATCCACATATATTTTGTAATCCATTCAAATAGAAATTAAATTCACTATTTAATCTGAGTTTTACCCAATGAATTTGAAGTCAATATTCAACAGAGGTTGAAAATCAAATATAATTGATTAATAAGACAATTGAAAGTGAAAATGTACCTTCGTCGTTGACTGCCTTCCTTTTAGAGATGTATTAGTGTGAGAGTGAGATGGTTTTATCGTAGCTGTGTTTTCCGTTGTTGCAGTTGAAGTAACAGTGGTACTCAAAGGATTAGTTATGTGATCAGCGGGTAATGACTCCGGAACTGTTTGTAATGTTGACCTCATTGTAGTTGACATTTTCTTTTATAATAAAATTCGCGCACACACAATTCAAATTTTTTCAGATTTATTATTTATTTGTTTAATTAACGAAATGAACTTTTAATTTTAAGTTTCTCTTGTTCATTAAACAACTTAGTTTGGAATTATTTCAATATTTCACAAAATATACACGTTTTATTTGGATTATAATATTCAACTCAACACAAATGTATTGTTAAACTTATTCATTTATTTTAAAGAACAATAGTGATGTGATCTTTGGGGACATATAATCCAAGATTTCTACTTCTTTGCGTTCAGCTTACATTGTTTTTTTTTTTAATTATTTTTATTAATATATAACATCTGAACCTGAAAATTAGATAAACAATAATATAAGAAGCGTATATTTTTTGAAACAATTTAGAAAATAAATAATGAATCTAAGATGATAAAAGCATTATATCATATGAAATCTAATTTGTGTTACCACACAAGTAATCAATCTTGACCTATGGTCTTAAATGAAGAAATAAAGAAATTAACTCATTCATGGCAGATCAAAATTTTCTGAACTTAAGTTTGAGAATTGGGACCCTGATCCACATAAATAGAAAAGAAAGTACTAGTGGATGGTTAGTAAAAATATAAACTATCACATCGTTGATATGTCAGATGACGTCGCTGTTTCAGCGACATATCTATTTTGTGTTCATTCCGTTTTGAATGATGGAGCATGCGTATATCAGGTGTTACATTTTTAATTCGCAAAAGTATTGGCGAGGAGCATTTGGATTTTTTTCATTAAATGCATCTTTGTTCGTCTATACATCTTGTACAAAATCTTATTCTTAAGCTGTATTATATGATTTTATAATTATTTCCAGTAGTTATAATCATAAAAAATATTTTTGTTAAACAAATTTACCGTTTATTTATTGCTCGTATTATTCATTAGGAAACAAAAATAATGTACTCATATTAATAAATAATAGAAATTATTTATTATGTCTTTTTATCAATTTTATATATTATAATTGACGAAAAAATATATTACAAACGTAATCAACAAAAATGCCTTCAAAGGGTAATGAACCATACACACAGGGTAAAAAAAAACACTTACAATGTTTGAAATGAAGCACACTTACACAGATAATGGCTGATGGTATGTGTCGTTGGTTAGTTTATGCTCCAATATTGATACATTTTACTTATTGAATGAGTCATACAAAACATTAAAATAACTTTAAATTTTTGTAATTTATTTTTTGCGATTTCAAAAACTGTGTCTATTTTTGACTACTTTCACATGAAGAGAGAACATGAAACTTCTATTCGAGCCAATATTTTTTTAATACATTACACATAACATTAAAACACTATAAACTGTGAAAAACGTATTGATTTTGAATATCTATATATATATATATATATATATATCAATATATATATATATATATATATATATATATATATATTGTATAAATCAGAACAATTCCAATTGAAAATTTATATTTTTCTTGAATTGAATGAATTTTAACAAATAACAAATATTTTCCTCACTTTTATTATAATTTTTTCTTTTAGATTTAAATCACTTTTGCAGGATAATAATATTTTTTTTTGTTTATTACATATAGATAAATTAGAAAAATTCCCTAAAAATGATGAATATAACAATGAGAAAAACTATTGAAGATGTACTCGGAGTTTAACACAGTACACACAACTTTGTCCTATCTCATACTGAGCAGTCAAACTGTTACATTGGCGGCGGCCATCTTTTCACGAACATTTTCGCATTTAAAATCTACCAAGACGCACACATATGCGATCCGTATTTTTCGAGAACTATATGTGCGAGCAGCAACGTTGGAAAAAGGTTGAGTCATATATATATACACACATTCTAAATTGTTTGATTATCTTAGTCTTATATCAAATACAAGCCTGGTACGATGAGATTATTTGAAGCGTCAATACGTCTAATTTATCTCTTTCTCTTTTTTCTGTATGTGTATTTTCAGTCGATGAAGTAGTCGATGTATTCAGTGAAGTTGTCGAGGTGTGATGTTTTGTATGCTCTGTCAACTAAAGTTGCATTCACAGTTGAACTTCCAATATAAATACAACGTTTATATTAAAAAAACGAAAGATCATAACAAATGTTCCATTTATTTCGTTATTATAACACTTTTACTATAATAATTTTTCTTTTTTTCTTTTGTTGGACCAATGTTGGTATAGTTGTCAAAAAAAAATTTCTCCTGTTTTTGATTCAATACCATTTTAAAGTTAAAGATACTTATTAAATTTGTATCAGGAATTAATTTTTATAGATACTCTTATACATATGGTGATTGATTTTAAAATTTTAAATTCAAAATCTGTTATATATTTTCCATAAAATTCTTATGTTCAGAAAAAACTCTTATTAAAAATTCTCCTTCCTCATTTGGTTCAAATGTGGATGGTACAATCAAATAGTGACCCGGAGACAATTTAAAACGGCAACTGACCTCACGCAAGTTTATAAAGGCCGGACTTCGAGCAACCGAAGAATTATATCTGAAAAAATTCATTTTCAGTGGCGTGTTCATAAGATCACGTTCGGTCACGCGATAAATCGCAAATCCAATTGTTAAACAGTCTGAGCCCATATTTCGTCTCGAACGCCGATTTTTCTGCATCAATGCAACAATCAACGTACCTAGAGAAGAATCATAGAGAAAGAAAAAGGAATAATCAAAATAATCGAAATAATGAAAACATATAATGGAAATGTAATTGCAAAAGAAAGTGAATTTATATATAGTTCTCTTAAAGCAATGACCACACATTTGGCATCAACATTGCTTGAAATATAGATTTTCAGGAGTTGAGATCGCAATTCTTTAGAATCTTTAGTTTCTTCCAAAACTATATTTTCTATAATTCCACCATTATCTCTCACTCACTCACCCACTCAACCAGACACACACACTATCTCACATACGCTCTGTTTCCATCATTGGAAATCTTATAGTACATATTAAAATTAATGTATGAATGTGAATGGCAATGAAAATATTAAATAAACGTACACATTCCATCATCGTCATTTTCATCTGGTTTTTCAAGTGTTACAGTATACTGTGGGTTTTGCCAAAACGTCTCTAAATAGTTACGACAACCACCGGCAGTTGCGCCTTGAATCCATTCACCTTCAAAAACTGACATTTCCCAACGCAATTTCGTACCTAAGGCGAGAATCACAAAAGAAAAGATAATACAATTAATTTAAAATAATCGACAAATAATCGAAAATAATCAACAAATAATCGAAAGTAATCAATAAAAATGTGAAATAATTCTGAATGAAATAAGATGTCAGCATCAAACAATTATCTTGAACAAATTGAGACAATTGAACAAATCAAACAATTATCTTGAACAAACCGCTTATCTGCTCTTCGGTTAGTGAGTCAGGACTCAAATTGCAAATTTCAACCCGATCAAAGTATTTCATAAAATCTTGGAAGCTCATATAAAATTCACCGTCATGATCAAAAGTCAAACCGATTCTCTCTTTCTCATGGTCCGGAATATATCGCCACTCTGTAAAAACATTGACACAATGTAAAAATTATAGTTAATATTTCAAAATAGTATCAACATACCAGGTGATGAATCACTCCAAGGTCCGTTCCATTCTGCATCATTTCCCCAAGGATTTCTTATTCGCAACTTGAGGAAATAATATTATTTCAAACATACGCGAATGATAATATCTTATATATGTATATAATGATCACAGCAGACGGCAGATCGAGCGAGTGACGAAACCACATAATTGTGTTAAAAAGTCGACTTGCTACATATTATGGGTGGAATATTTTCGGCATAATTTTGCGGCCATTTGGAAAAACATGTCTTATGGTACCCAGATTCAATATGTGAAAACTTGTGAATCATATTTTCTGCCCAAAGTACATAATATCACGAAGTTTGAAAATTCAATCAAAAAGAAAGATGCATCCGATACAAAATTTTTGGCTCATAAACGAAAAAATTGAAAAAAAAATTATGGGAGGTTACTTTTATTTTCAAGTCGCTGTCTTATATCAAATAGAAAATTGAAAATTCTTGTTTTTGAGATGTGGCGTTTCATAGTGCAAATGTTGCCAAAAATGGCCATATGGTCACTGTGGCACCTAGACTTGAGATACCCAGGACATATGCATATCGTCGGGAAGATCTTAATTGCGATTTCAAAATTTTATGTTGGGGTGGCAAAATTGGCCAAAAACCAAAATGTGATCGTTTGCCTGGACAAATAACGGACATTTTCTCGAAAAAGGCTCCATAGTTTCTTTTGAAAAATTCATCAATTTAAGCAAGTTAAAGATAAAATAATTGACCGTTCACATTATGAATCACAATTTATGTCATTTGGAGCCAAAAAAAATAACCAAAAGTCCATATTTTCATTGTATTTTCAAACTATTAAATTCATGAGATGTTTCGCATCTTTAATTTTGGAAAATGTCATCCAAAAAATTACTGATATCAAAAAAAAAACCTCTGTCAAGGTGAAAAACGATTGAAGATACAAAGAAAATGTGATATCCATTTCGTGACGAAAATAATTGATTGAAATTTTTTCTGTGTAGTGTGAATAAAAACTTTATATACAGTGTACAAAAGAACTGAAACCTGGCTTATTTTCTGAAATCTTTTACCTATGTTCCAATACATCAATCGTTGCGGAAAACCTTCTAGATTAAGAATTTGGAAATTTCGTATATATATGTATACAGGGTGATTCAAAATTCCATGCTAATCTCTCTACCACAGATTCATCAGCTCAAGAGGAGTAAAAAAGTGTATGAGCACTTTTCCCGAATCGGCTGTTTTAGCAGGGTTACAGCCATAGGCCCCTTAGGGTCAAGATTTTCTATTTTCTGGTTGATTTCCATGGACGGTCACCACAGCGGAACATTGTTTTGTTCGAAAGGTCTCTCGGCCCTCTTGAGAATATCACGAAAAAAATTCAAAAAAAGTTTCAGTGGAGACGGTCAAAGTGGGTTGACCAAAAGTGAAAAAAATCATCGAAAATCGAGGAAAATCTTAATTTATCTCGAAAAAACATGTGATAACCTATCTTTTTTATGCCAGAAATCGAAAGAGCATCCAATTTTGGTCCGGTATGCACATTTTCAGATTACAAATTTTTATGGGTATGTCAAAATTTTTAACGGTCCGAAGTGGAGCGACCGAATTTTTTTTTTTTCATTTTTTTGAATCGACTTTTATGGGTCGGTTTTTAGCGCTGATTGTTTGGTTTTACCACCGATCTTACATAATTCGGACCTGAGGAATCTAATGGTGCTAACGGTTTTGACCGATCGATTCGAATTTCACAAGATAATCGGCTTCGAACCTACCCCTAGGAGTGACATTTTAGAGTTTCAATTTTTTTCATTCGATCGGTATGAAAATTAGTATTGGGGGATTTTTGGGTACGGGAAACCCGAATCTGTTATTTATTTTGCAATAAAATTAAGTTTCAACCCATTTTCTATTCAAAAATTTGATTTTTTCCATTTCTTGTTACTTCAGGACATTTTTGTACTGAAAATATTTCAATATATGATTTTATGTGTAAATAAATATCAGATTCGGTTCTCTCGTACCCAAAAACCCCCCAATACCAGTTTTCATACCGATCGAATGAAAAAAGTTGTAACTCCAAAATATCATTCGAAGGGGTAGGTTCGAAGCCAATGATCTTGTGAACTTCGAATCGATCGGTCAAAACTGTTGGCACCATTGAGTTCCTCGGGTCCGAATTATGATTAAGATCGGTGGTAAAACCAGATAATCTGCGTAAAAAACTGACCCAGAAAAGTCGATTCAAAAAAATGAGAAAAAAAATTAAGTTCAACATGTTTAGAGTGAAAATAAAAGACCAACATGAATCATGTTGCTCTTTAATTTTCATCTCAGTTTAGTTGGTCATTTATTTTTACCGATTTCATGATTGAGATTTTTTTATATGAAAGTTTGAGCTCACTTTTATCCTAACCCATTCATTTCTAATGCGCAATAAACAACATGAGATGCGTGCGCCACACAGATATGATGCTATTTAATTTTAAGACGCAATATCCATTCTATACTCATCGGTGGAAGGCAAATACACTTTTTACATTCAATTTAACTGAGGAGTAACTGAACCAAATTTTTTTTTTTATAAAATAAAAAATCTAAAATCGCACCACAGATAACACATGACCAGACTCCCAACTACTCATAACATACAAAAAAGAAACAAAACATCGCTCCAATTAAAGTGTCCCTAAACTAAAGATGTGCCTAAATTTTTACCCAACCACAAAAATTTGGAATCTGAAAATGTGCATACCGGACCAAAATTTGATACTCTTTGGATTTCTGGCATAAAAAAGATAGGTTTATCACATGTTTTTTCGAGATAAATTACGATTTTCCTCGATTTTCGGGGGGATTTGATTTTTCAAAAATTAAAAATTCTCTAATTTGAATACCAAATTTTTGTTTGCTCTTCACTCTTTTGGCGAAAATCCCTAGCAAATTGAAAGAATTTTTCTTGCTCCAAAAAACCCTAGCAAATTCGATTAATTTCGGCGAAAGGTCTCTAACCCTCCCTCGCACATTTCTGATATATAGTGAGCTAACTTTTCAACACACCAAGTTAGATTCGTCACTCGTTGCTCAAAGTGCCGTCCGCTGTGATCTTACCATTTGAATTTTTCCAGAAGTGTTTGGAGTTTCAATCTCTATTGGCTCAACTTTAGTAATTGAATACGCGTGCCTAGGAGAGAATCACAAAAAAAGAAATAATCAACAAATAATCGAAATAATGAAAAAATATAATGAAAATGAAATCGCAAAAGAAATTGTATTTATATATTTAACCCTCTAATGCATACATTTTTCTAGAGCTGAGATTTTTTTTCTAGTTGATTTTGTTGTGATAACACTTAAATTAGTGGTTCAAAAGAAAAGTGCAAAAAACCAAACCCCGCCTTAAGGTAGGGCTATGCATTAAAAATATGTTTGAAAACAATGAAACCATTGATAACAACCTAGTATACTCCACATTTTCTACAATACATTGTAGATTATTCAAAAATTGAAAATTAGAGTCAAATTGCCACTCAAAACATTGTTTGAAGTTGAAAAAATTTGTTATGTTAAATGTCCAATAGACACATTCTCAATAAAAATTACTCAAAAAATTCTATTCAATTTTTGGTATTTTGATACAATTTCTAGTCATTTTAATATATTTGTTTGCCAAAATTGAATAATCTACAAATTTTGTAATTTACACTGTAATTCCATATATGGCATATAATAGGGCCACAGGGTGGCGCATATAATAGGAACATTCTTAGGGGGTGAGAACTTTGAAAAACCCTTTGGGGCCTCCTTTGAAATTTGAGAATAAGAAGTTTTATTCACTTTTTGTGTATTCTATACCGAGCCTCCGAAAGTGCGAAATATTTATACCGTTAAACTGCGTCGCATATCAAAGCGAAACAAAATTCTGTTATTAAAACATGGCAGAACAGTAGCTAGTTATCAGAACAAAACGAAACTTACATATTTTGTGTAATAAAAAGTCAATGTTCTTTATTCCTTTGTTTACAAAATATTGTCTCGCTTTTATATGTAACCGTTTTGAGTCGCGTTTCGATATGCGATCAAACAATAAGTTGTTTTTATTCTAGAGCGTTCAATTGTAGTAGCTATTACAGGGAAGAAAAGTTGACGTTCCTTTCTGAGTGTGTTTCGATTAATGTGTAAAAAACTTTAAAATCAATTATATATTTTAGACAATAATTCATGCACTTCGCCTGAAGAGCTATGCAGTAGTGGGTTAATTTTTTCACGCACTTTCGAGCCTGCAGATAAATATCTTCAAAAAATCCGATTGTCAAATGGGCATAACATGAAAGGCTGATCCTTCGTGGATGTGTTTTAATTCATAAATTTGAAATTTGGTAATTGGAATTGCGATTTTGTGGATTATTTAGTTCCTTCTCGAATTATATTTTCCTAGATTCTAATGATTTCTAATCATCTCTCACTCACTCATTAACTCACCCTTTTATCAAGCCCTTTAAAAATACGCATTTACATATCGTAGAAAGAATAAATAAAAAAGAATCGTATTCAAGATTGATGTTAATGACGTTGACTACTTCTCAGAAATCGTCAAGAAAATGCATTGAAGTCATTAAGCGTTTGTTTTCTTTTTAATTTGGTTTGTTTTGACACGCGTACGTACGTGGTGCATCAACTCTGCATTGAGTTCTTTGCTGAGTGACACGAATTGTGTTCTCATCGAAACAGAACGCTAAAATCATATCGATGACTGTGATCAAATGTTGCATTATTTTTCTATACACTCATAGTATAAATCTGTGAATAAAAATTCACCAAATTAAAACGAAAAAAAAAAACGCTCAATGATTTCAATGCATTTTCTTAACGATATCTGGGAAGTAGCCATTTAGATGTGCTTTACTTCTCGAGTTTCTGCTTCCAACACCTGGGGTGAATCACATAGAAAAGAATGAATATTAATAGAACAGAATGGAAAAATAATTGAAAGAGTAATTGAATAGAATTTTTTAAGTTATTATTATAGCGTGTCCCCTTGGATCTACCAACTAACCGCTTGATCAGGTTCAATTGAGCAAGCCATCATTGAGTTTCGTTCGTAGCCTTTCAACAAAATATTAAATAAATTCGGTGGCGCTTCACTTAAGTCATATATTTCAGTTACGCCACCAGTGAAATCTTCCATAGCCTCGCATGTTGTACCTAAAGTAAAATGTCGAAAATAATGCAATTATACAGAAGTTTTAGAAAAATGAATGGAATACATATAATAATGAATTTTAATATAAGATCTGTCCACGAACACTAACCACGGTTCACTCGTTTGTAGCATTTTTTGATTTACATAAACAAACAATTCGAATATTTAATTTTCTTCGAACAAACAAACGAACGCAATATAATTCTACGAACGAACGAACAATATAAATATATTTCTGTTTCTTAAGTAAGCTCCCTGACAAAGGTTGAGAATAAATAATAACAAATCTCTATATCTTAGTACTATTAAAATTTCAGTCAATCAAGCAAGCTTTTGAAAGAGATCGTCTCCAAAATATACCAATATTCTCCGGAGTACCCCACCATGTCAAAATTTGATCGGATCAAAAAATAATGTACTACTCTGTTCGAAGGGCGGGGGTTTCATTTTTATATTATTTTGACCCCTTCGAACAGGGTCATTCAGGGCGGCCAGCTTACCTCCCTTTAATGATTCGTATGAACCGTATAATTTTGCATAGGCTTTCTCTAGCAACGCGCTCCAAAACTCATTCTGCTCGGTTGAATGCATATATAGCAGCTCTCCGTGATATGTCGGTAGTCGGTCATCAATAACCACATCAATCCATTTACCATATTGCCAAAATCTTGAATAAAATTTTAAATTAGATTTCACATTATTTTTCTACCTTCGAATCGATAGAGAATGACACTCCCAAGTTATTATTATTACTCCCAAGTTATTATTGCATTAATATATTCAAAATGTAAAATTAATATATTGAAAACATACGTATTTTTTCTGTTTGATTTCATTTGCAATGCAATTTTTTTTTCTTTTTTACAAGTAGAAAAAATTACAGCTTGCTGTAAGGAAACTAATATTAAATAAACACCTGAAGTGAAAAATTCCAGCGTAATTTTCTTCAAAATTCTGATCATCCGGAATAACTTGAAAAAACATTTTTGGATCTGCCGTCAGGTTTGACGTTGCCGCTAAAAACCTTGGGTTTGAATTAAATGATTATGTTAGAATAAAACCCCAACTTGAAAATAAGATATATAAAATTGGAACACATCACTTTTAATGCGATTGCACATATATAAAAAACAATGCGTTCCACTTTTATAGATTTTTATTTAAAGTTGGATTTTTGTTATAAGTTTCATTCAAATAACTAACTCACCAGCAGTCCCCAAGTTCCCCTTGTTGTACATCAAATCTTGAATATCCTTCAACAAAAAATTGAGGATCGTCACAAATTTCATGTGGTCTTAACCATTCAATATGACGGTTCATTCGTCGTGAAATTTGCAGAGATGAGTCAGTAGGTTCAAATTCTGGATCTTCAAAAAGCATTTCATTTTCCAAACAATAATTTCGCAAAGTATTGAAATCTTGAAAATCTCCATCTCTTGGTCTTTCATCTAACTGTAATTTACATAAGTTATGTTTGGCAGTACAGTATTCTAGTAAATAATTCCGATTGGAATTATTGTTTACATAAACAAATTCATCAAGAAGACAAAGCATATATCACACTTACATAAGTAAACATTGGAACACATTGTTCCACAAACAACAGTCGACATTGTATTAAATATACTGTACTTGTGTGTGGATTAATATGTACCAATATTTACTATAGTTTAAGAGAACAGCAATATAGCTTTATTTTCTTAATGAATTTGCTTATATAAACAATAATTCCATTGAACTATATGATTCCGATCGGAATTATTTGGCTAGAATCAAGTTAACAAGTGACTTACAAATTTAATGTGCTCCAAACTAGGCAAAATTCTCGGATGCTCAGTTTGTTTTTTCACAACGAGACATTCCTGAATGGCATTTCCGATATATTCACCAGCAGCGTTCACAGCTTCATTTAGAATTTGTTCTCCAGCTTGTCTCAAAAAACCCTACGAATTTTTATTATTTTTACTCTGTTTTTATTATAAAAATAATATTAAATAAAATAATTTTAGTTTATGAAAAACATCGATTTACCTTTATTTGATCCATTCTAATACAAGAGATAAACAAGATATATTTTTTTATAACATGATGTCATCCAAAATAACTTTCAAAATAAAATTTTACCTGAGTACGAGTCTTCGTTCTTTGTTTTAAATGGATACAAGTAATTTTACGCTGGAGTTATTATTATTATGATTAAGCCTTCAGAATATAAATTCACGAATAAGAATTTGTGAATTAGCAAATTAGCATTATTTTTAAATACTTAAACAATATATGCTCCCAGAATGTATTTTCTGTGACACTATCCCTATCGGAATCTCGAATGTCAAACTATTGGTCAGAAAATTGTGTTAAATGATGAAATGTATTTGAAATGTTTGTTGAACGTCGCAACAGCAGCAAATAGAAGAACGATTACAGTGTGTATATATATGTGTCGTTAACTTGTTATTCTTCATCAAAAGAGAAATGCAAATTATATGACCTCAATATTTAAGAAATTAAGATATAGTTTTATAATATTTATTTATTAATAAAAAAAGAAATTTTTCTTTAATATTTAATTTATTATTCACTAATAATTTTTAAAAATTGAATAATTTTAATAATTGAATTGTGTTTTTATATTTCAATACCATATTTAAATGTAAACTTCCAAATGAGTTTAAATAATCTTATTAGTAAGTTAATTTGTATTTAATTCATTTGGATTTATATAAAAATTCAAATTTTTGTTCTCGGCTAAGCAAAAAATGATAAAAAATACAATTTTTTTAAATATGATATTTATTTACAGTGTGTAAATAATTTTAAATTTTATGTTAGCAAACGAATGCATTTTAACAAATATGACCGTCCGAATGTGATATATATTCAGAAAGAATAGAATAAGTAATTCATAAATTCAGAAAGTAGTAGTAAATTATTTGTTCATTTCTTCGGAATTGTAGAAATTCTTTCAATTTAAGTGGGGTTTTTGACCAACATTAATTTTGAATTAAGTTGCGCTTCCACGGTGAGACTCACTGACTGAGTTTATTTTATATAATCCACAATAATTTTTTTATTAACTACACAGAAACAAGTATTCGAGTACGCTTACTCGCACTTGCGGTGTTAGTAGAGGCTTTACCCCTCAAAATGAGTTACGCACTCTATTTAACTCTATTTTTGGTGTTAGTTTCATCAAAGTAAACGCATCACAGTGAAAAAATAGATACATGTGTAGTACATATGACGGACTTAGAAGAAAACAATAACATACAGAACATGTTGCAAATAATACTAATACAAATTTTATGAGAGCAAAAACCAAATATATACATGTGTTTCTTATGTAAGTAGGCTGGTTTTGCATTTGCCTTTTGCGCTGTCTCTTTATATATTTGGTTTTTGCTCTCATAAAATTTGTATTAGTATTATTTGTAACATGTTCTGTATGTTATTGTTTTCTTCTAAGGCCGTCATATGTACGTTGCCGCATGCTTTCAACGAGTTATGTTTCGTTGCGTGCATATGAGTCTGTGTATACGCTAACGAATATGATTGCTAAGTGTATCGTCACATACGTTCGATGAAACTAACACCAAAAATAGAGTAAAATACAGTGCGTTACTCATTTTGAGGGGTAAAGTCTCTACTAACACCGCAAGTGCGAGTAAGCGTACTCGAATACTTGTTACTGTGTATTATTAAGTAAATTAGCTTAATAGAAATGGGGAATGATGCAATCAAAGTGGCCGAACTGAATTAAACTGGATAAAGACATCTTTGACTATAGCACTTAAAGTGATTACAACTTTAAATCTGTTTCCCGAATTGGGAATATAATTCAATATCGAAAAAAAGGGAATTTTCTCGGAAAAATAAAATGCTTCTCATCACCTATCAAAGACATCATCTATCTTACTTTGAACGTCTTTTCGTTAACAAGGGGAGTCAGGAACATTGAATATTCAATCATAATGGTCAAATTCATTGATTTTTTAAATTTAAATCAAGGGTCACAGTAAACTATGCCCTAAATTACTATTTATAAGTCGAATCTCTTATGATTTACCTCATCAAAATTTGGTTAATAATTATCGACTAGTCAGAAGCTACCTGATTATTAACGATTTTCAATTGTCCTTCTGAGGAACAAAAGGATAAATGAAAAGGCAATATTATTCGTTATGAGCTGACGTTTTGAAGTATATTTATGTATAGCTGAGCGTTACTGAAGATTGAAACTAAAACTTAACTAATACATCACACAAGTTAAGGAGTAGGTGTGAATGTATGTTTTAATAGTAATTTTTTTGTTTATTGCATTTTTTTTTTTGAAAATATTCTTAGCTGTTTGAAACCAAGATTTTTTAATTAATTCTCTAAAAACTCAAGAAAAGCACGTGGCACTAATCCATGAACCAATCCTTGTTTTCCGTACATGTAATCATTATTGGGAGGGTTGCATTCAGCAACGAAGATTATCTGTAAAAAATTCCAATAATTCATTTGTTCATAAGTATAATATCGATAGTAGCAATGTATTGGTGTTCATAAATTGCATGTATATATTACTTCCACAGATTCTTTAGACCCTGGCGAGTAAAAAAATATATGAACATTTACCCCAAAAAATATATGTGACGCTTTGTTGTGGAGTTTTCGCCCATGTAACATTTTGGGTCAAAAATCTCTGTACTCGTATAAGTGATATACTAACGGCCGCTGTCCCTGTACACTTCGACAGAAACTTTAATACGCTATGGGATTTTTTTATTTTTCAGTCATCAATTATGCTAGGCTAGTTTATTTATTTATTTCACCGTCTGATCACAGACTGAATTTATCACAAAATTTGTACAATATCGTTTACAATGAAACAATGAAACACTACCCGATCGAATATCCAGCTACCAGTCTTTTCGACTTCGGAGCAGCAGATATCGATTGTGTTCATTGTGTAATCTCTTTCGTCTCCATACATTCTTTAAAATTATCTGTTCACCGATTATTAAATATCAAATTGTCTAATTGAATAATATTATTCCTAAAAATTTCTCTTGATGCCGATTCAAAAAATTGTTCTCGTATTAAATTGAAATTCCTACATGCTACGTAAAATGGCTGATTATGTGCATAGTCCGATGTAAACATTCGTACTCTAATAAGTTCTGTATTTCTCAAATTTCTTTGGTTTACGTTATATTGCTGTCTTGTGTATACAATCTTATCTCTAAGCGAATTTGACAATATTTTACCTAATAACAGATCATAAATTAAAAATATAGAGGCATTTATACGCCGTCTCCAAAGCGGTTGAATATTTAAAACATCACATCTAAACTGATACGGTGGCAATACATAATTCTCATCTCTTTGATATATAAATCTTAATGTCCATATCACAAAATCTTTTTGAATTGATTTTAATACGTTTAATACGTTGGTTTTTTGTTTTTAAAATTGATCTTACAAAATTCGGACACGAGATATTCAATGGTTGAAGGTGAGTAACACGACGATTATCTCTTAAAAAATCCCACAGATGTTGACAAAAAAAAAGAAGAAAAAAATTGGGCAAACTTCCGTAGGCAATCCCCGCAAGAGTCAATTTTATCTACTGTAATTATAGAAGTTCTGATCACAATTGATGCCCTTTCTTGTTTTTCTTGTGGAGGTCACTTTTTGCACAGTGAGAAATATTTGAGTAAGGTTATTCTGATGTTTGAAGTTAGTAGAACGTCTACCCCTCAAAATGAGTTAAAATAGTATTATTTACACCGGTGTATTGGTCTAACATGCGTAAGTCGCCTTCGTCGAATTTTTCCTACTTATTTTTTATAAGGAGCCCCAACCCATACATTTCTGACGAAAATTCCAGGTACATAGTCCGTTGGCGTGTCACTTATCCGAGTACTGAGATTTTTGACGAAGCTTGTGAGGTTATGTGGGCGATAACTCCATAGTGAAGCGTCACAGGGGCGAAAGGAATCTGTGGGATCTTTTTACAAGCACTTCGTGGACTCCCTGTAATTACTTCATTTGCAGTGAGGCTCAATTCTGTGCTATCTTTAGCGTCGTATGAGCACAGAACTCTAGCTCGGCGATGCATGGGAATATCGTTTTCTTTCTTCGTTGTTTCATCATGCATCTCAATTGGTATATATGCTCCGAGACTACTGAAATTTTTCAAAAGAGAAAACGAATTGTCACAAATACTCAAAATCCTAGGGGTTAGACACCGTTTGAAAATGAAGAATATACATCAAATCCTCGATTCTCGCTATTCCGACGATTCCCAAAAATTCAATGATCTAGTTTATATTCTGTTTGTACAGTATATGCACAAGGATATCATTTAATTTCAATCTTAAACATTGAAATTCAATATTTTTTGTAATTTTGAGAAATTTAAATTGAAAACTAATACAATTTAATAAAAACTAACACACATTTAACATTTTAATTTTTAATAACTACATGTTTTGTATAACTCTCAAAATACGACCATCGAACTTATATCTGCATTGACGGTTTTATAAATGAACTTATTTATATTCATAAGTCGTACAGCAATTAATAAATTAAAATTATAATTTTAGTCCATAAATTTGATACCAATTATAAAAAAAAATATTT